GAGCATTAGCACCCTGTCACGTAACGATGACAAGCACCTGAGCGCTCGTACCTGGCCGTACGACGCCGGTCACTCGTTTCGATTCCGTCGATTCCATCGATTCCATTGATTCCATTGATTTCATCGAAATGGCAGGAGGCACCTCGAGCGCCGCGATCCTGCGATTCCGATACTGTCGTAGACGGCTCTGCGCTTAGTATGCACGGCCATTGGAGCTTCGAAACAGGTAACATCTGTGCAGTGCGCGCGTGTCCCGAATCGCGAGTAAGACCGATAGAAGGATAGTCGCCAATTGGAAATCTTTCAATTTACCGGGACGAGACGCCGGAGCTATTATAATTACTTATATGGACCAAGGGAATGACATCTGCGTGCATTCGAAGTAACACTGCCGCGTAACAGGCTCCACGTCTCTCCAGTCCCCAATTCTTCGATTCTTCGATTCTTCGATTCTTCGTTACGCTTGTGCATGACATCCTATTCTTATTTCAGCGCGCGCCACTTTTTCGGCCCGCCGATCCTATCAGTTTTCCATTCGCAGGAACGCGACGCGAGCTAAGGAATCCGAGGGAAAACTCAGTGGCGAGAGACAAGACCGGATTTTCAAATCTTTTCCGGGCATTACGGAATGACGTTCTATCCGTGGTTGCCGATGTGCGTCCTTTTCCGAATAATCATCAAGCCCATAGCCGTGTCGGCCGCTACGCGGAGGAGCGGGGTTAGACTTTAGACGCTAGACGCAAACGTATTACGTTCCTCCCTTCCCGTTTGCCTTTCTCTCTTCCTCGAGAGATCCTTTTCTTAATTCGGATTACTGTGTAACAGTCACTCCACTGCAGTTCTTCCTCTATTATCCTCCTGTCTTCGACCAAAAGTTTCCGGGCAACTTGAAAATCCGCATAACTTGAGTTGTCCTTAAGTACGATTTTCTCAAAACGAACGTGCATGTGTTTGAGCTTGTAAATTTATTTTTCGGCCTTTTTACGAATCCGTCTGAGTCGAGAACCTGATCTACCGTGCCGGTTCTACTGTCGCGCCTCTCTTTTTCAAGGATAAGATAGAGAATTCGCAAGATTCTGTCGGATCAATGTGATTAATATGGGAAATCTATCTACTATATGGACCTTAGGATAGACTGTAAAGTCTATAGCAAGCTGCTATCGATGGCCTCTGTGCTCTCGCCTCTCTACCGAGGCTGATACAGAGTTTCGTGAATATTTCACTGGTCAAGGACTAGAGAGACCGTTATGGGCAGTTCGCGGACGGACCAGCGAGATCTAACCAAGTGGTCTGTCCAGTTGAAGACTAAAAGGAATTAACTGACCGAAGCTCACCTTTCTGTTCCATGCTGGCGAAGAACAGCTGTTGACCGTTATCGGACATACATGTGAAACGTGCCAGAACAATGATATCCACGTGACGAGGTGCGAGACCCGTAGAAAGATGAAATTACGAATATCCGTGTATCCGTGAAAGGGCGCGGAGTCGCTGTTGCTCGCACGCTCACACGCTCACGCGCTCACGCGCTCACACGAAAACTGCACGCGAAATCTTGAGAAGAAATGTCACGTAGCCGAGCGGAGAGCGACATATAAAAGGCATCACAGATGTTCAGAAAATCTGATCGAGGAGAGGAAGACGTCGCAGTGAAAAGAAATGAAATTTATTGTGTTAAAAGTACTGCGGAACGAAACGAACCGAGGAAACTATTATGTGCCACTGGCTGCGAAGAAATGACTGCGAGAGAGTACGAAGGGAGTAGAAGAGGCGCTGATGGAGGAGGAGAAGGAGGAGAAAGGGAAGCAAGCAATGTCCTATCTAGGTCCTCAGGCTGAGCGACGCGAGTCGTGAGAATCGACGGGCCGTTTTCTCTCTCTCTCTCTCTCTCTCTCTCTCTCTCTCGATCGGCCGAGGCCTCAACCGACACGCTCTGTGATTCGTGATGCCAGTCCAGGCATCTCCGGAGAAACGTCTGCCTGTATATTCTCAATCGCTCAATCGCGTCTAGTGCCTTCACTGTTGTCATGCATCTGTACTTTATTCATGTCGCACTGTTGTCTTGTTCGCGTACGATCGTGCACATTTCGATTTCCGTACTCGTTTTGCACGATACAGTGGTACCAACCACGTAAAAAAAAAAGAAGGAATAACTTTAACAGGAAATCGAACATTTACGGGTCTTTTCCTCGCCGTAATTTATTTATTCAATTACTTTTTTTTCGAGAGAGAGAGAGAAACTTCATTTTCCAATCAATGTGCCGTGTCGTTTTTGCGCTACGTCAGGATGCAAAGGATCAATCAGGAAATGTCTTTATCGAAGAAAAGTATCCTTCTTCAGACGCTTCTTGAATCTCCGTTTCCATAATATTTTCCATTAGTAAGCTCTCGCATCTCTAATATTTTCTGTTCATTTAATAGCGACCCGATGACGAGTAGTTTGATAGCAGAGAAAGTGGCCCGCTGTAAGTCGTACAGACGAAAAGTGAAAGCTTTCTAATCTAATAGTGTAGCGTGGAATTCAGTAAAGTGTCCTCACGAAGGCAGCGCGGACGAGTGAAAGTATACCTACTCTAAGTAGCGTGAGCACGCGATGTAAGCGAAGCAACCAGCCGAGCAAGCTGCGGCGACGGGTGGAGGCGGGTGGTGGCGGGTGGAGGCGGGCAACGTGCTACGATCAGGTCGCGCATTCCAATCGTCAGGTTAGGTTAGTACGTACGACGCCGATTACATGGTGACATCGTTACATGTGTACATAGATACATGCATGTAGATGCCTACTTGCTCTCTTCTTAAAATCAGTGATGATTGCTCATTAATGTCCCGATCGACCAATCGAGCGACCGGCAAGAATGCCCAACAATGGAGGCACATTGGCACGCGCGAAGATATCCGGAATTCGCGGAAGGAGAGGAAGGGGAGGGGAAGGGAAGGGGAAGGTGAAGAGGGGGCTGAGAAAATACGACTTCTCGTCGTCCCGACTCAGGCGAAATTGCATTCGATCTACGGTCGTCTAAATTCATTGTTAGATGCAACGTCGCGTCGTTGCCAGTTTTAACGAAGATCAATTAATCGAATCACGATCGGCCGGATTGGTTTAATCGGCATAGCTGGATTTTCCAAAAAGTTTTCTACACGTTAACGAGCCAATATTTGAATTTTGCAAACGATTCCGAAAACTGATAAGAACGAGGCACGACGAGAGTCTTCGGAAAAGGAAGAGTAGTTTTGAAGAAAAGAAAGAGAAACGTATATTTTACAATACTCGTAGTAGATTACAATGTTGATAGTAATGATAAACTATATTAATATTAATGATCTAAAATAACGTGAATACTGGAATAGGGGAAGGTGGGACAAAATGGGCTACTCACAAAATTTGTTGAAGGTGAGGCAGTCATGATATATTTTTGAAATTGCATTTCCTCGAGAGGCCTGTCTTTATTACCCCACTTTCCTCTATATCTTATTAACAATAAAAATTGGGTTTGCCAAACTTTGTAGAGTCGAAAAAAGAAATCAACAAGCAGTCTTACGAGAGAGAGAGAGAGAGAGAGAGAGAGAGAGAGAGAGAGAGAGAGAGAAAAGACCAAGTCGCACAGCTCTCTGGTCTCTTTCGTTTTTGTTTCTCGTTTATTTTTTTTTGTTCAATGAAAAATGATATTCTTTCAAGTTTCACTTGAAGACATTCGAAATGAACAGCTACGTGCTATTACATGTCCGCTACGCACACTTCGTAATGGCAAACACAGTTCTTTCGATATAATATCTCCAAAGTCTATTCTCCGCGTATAACTATAGGTACATAATGTATATACCACCACGTAATACAAATACCTGGCGTGAAATATGGTCGGAACGTCATCGCATTCCACCAATCAACGACGAGAGGAGTTATTCCTAATATATGACAATATCTTCTCAAATTCCATGGCTTCGGGGCGCATTCTGTATCATTACAAAAAGTGAGATCTTAGTCTTACTAAAAAGAAGCACCTCGTATGCTAAAATGTCTAAATAAAATGTATGGGCAATACATATCGTTAATATCGTAAATAGTCGTAACGCGACGATATCGTAGGTTCTTGTAACCGTCCTTATTCGTTTATTTGCTTTTTTCTGTCTCAGCTAAGAATGCTGCTCAGCTTCACTTAGAATGCACATTTGTTGCATGTACCTACTGGCGATGCAGGCGGGGGACTCTTTCGTCTTACCAGTCCTTCAGCAACGTCGTTTCGCGATAACGAAATTTGGCGACACGGCTTCTATGCATTCTTCGAAAACAGTGCGCGGGACAGCGACGGAGGG